GCAATGCAGCCATCCCCCTCCTCCAGTTCTTCGGTGTGCGAAGGGCGGATGAGTGCGAGTGGGAGACGTCGAGGCGACCGAGGACAAGGTCACCAGCTTCATGCGCAAACAGAAGAACGACCACACGGGGCAAGGGCTGCGCCTGCAGCTGCCGGGCAAGCCCTCCCGGTTCCCGCACTTCGCAAAGAGCAGGGCACACCCCTCATCCGTCCCAAAGCGGGCGAACGCGCCAACACACAAAGGAACCAACCCAGCCGGTCGTCCTGGAACAGGGCCCTCAAGCGGGCGGCGCAAGAAGTGGGCATGCAGACGCGGGTATCGTCACACTCCCTCCGCAATGGGGGCGCATCGAAGGCCTGTGAACACACAGACACCGTAGGCATGTCAGCGAGAGCGTAGTAGAGCGTACCAGTGTACAATAGCAGAGAGAAACGCCGTGGAGAAAGCTGTGACGAAACAGCAAAACAACGCAGAGCACTGGGCGTAAGGGGAGGGGCGAACGAGTGAGTGCAACGAGTGAAGCGCATCAAAGACAGACATCACCTGCATCGAAACACACACATACAGGAGGGTCGTCTGCGTCGATCTGCGCCAGATCTGGCCTCCTATCTTCACCGCTCACCGTGGTCGTTGGGAGCACGCGCGCGCGTGTCGGGCTCGAGGCCGGTTGGGCCTGGGCCATTGATTGCGGTGAAGATAGGACAGATCAGGCAGGCAGATCAGCAGACAGGCACGCTCGCAGTGCGAGCACACATCGGTGCGGAGGCGAACGTATGGGAGCGTAAGGATGGTACGTCCGGTCGCGGACGTACGTGCAGCGGAGCACACACATCAGGCAGAGGCGCAGTAGCGACTCTGCCTCCAGCGAGCTCACTAGCTCGCCTGCTCGCCTTCTTCCGTGTAACGATCTCCGGGCTCGCGATTTGGAGCTCGTCCCTCGTATTCGCAAACGACCCACCCACCCGAACACATTCATGTTCTCCCGCCGGTCTCCCCCGCACGCGCGCGCGTGTCGGGCTCGAGGCCGGTTGGGCCTGGGCCATTGATTGCGCACGTTCAGATCCATTGAAACACGCACTCACACTCTCAGAATCTCAGCCAGTGTCTCACTCATCACTCATCGGCCTTTCTGTTTCATCCGGCTTCGGCAGCTCCTCGGCTGCCCCGCCCTCTCCCTCGTCAAGCTGCATGGTCTCCCCACCCTGATCGACTTGTTGGGTGTCATCCTGCTCGCGCAGCACCCCGCCGCGCAGCCCTGGTGGCGGCCTAACGGCGTTGACATCTGGGATGGGGAGAGGTCTGGCTGCGGCGGGGGGTGGGAGGGGCGGTGGCGGGAAGGATGGCGGGGCGGTGGTGGGGGCGTTGCGCTTGACGATCTCCTGGTTCTTGTCGTCCAGCAGCCGCCACATGGCCTCGACGTCACTCACCAGACGGGCGGTGCCGCTCTCGGAGGGCTGCACCCATGACACACGCACGGCAACGGCAGTGAATGTGATTCAATCGCATCAAGGGGTGTGGCGGCGTGTGTGCATGGGATGGATGCGGTGCGTACCTGTCTGTCGGTCTGGAAGGATTCGCTGAACTCGAGGGCCAGCTGTGTGGGCCTGGTTGATGACATGACGCCACACCAACACGACACACACAGGTGTGTGGTGTCTGTCGTGTGCACTGCACTGCACGTGGTCATTCAGCCAGCCGACGTCCGTACCTTTCCTTAAAGAGCGAGAAGACGTGTGCCAGCTCCATGCACTGGTCGAACAGCTCAAGCCGACCGAACACATACAGACCTGCAGACCCGCCACACACAGCAAACAAACGGACAGACGTGGCGCGGCGTATCTATGTGTCCGCACAAAGATCGTGTGTGGCGGGCAGGCGCGTACCGAGCCGTGCGCGTGACATGGCGACGACCAGCCTCCTGATGTCGCGGATGTGGCCCACACTGTTGGTCCGCACCAATGACAGCAGCACATCTGAACACACAAACAGACACATACACACAGGGAGGTGTCATCCCACAGGAAGGTGTCATCCCCTCGGCCTTTGCGTACAGTCGTTTTGTTGCCCTTGGTATCGGTCGACTGTCTCGATTTTGGCCGGCAGGCCGATGTTGGGATTCCATCCACACCTGACATATACGTATCCACACAGATGGATGCAGTATACATGAGTGAAGGCGAGCATAGCATGGTCGTGTGTCGATCTTGCTGGCCAGCCGGCTGACCTTTTCCTGACGACATCATTGAGTAGGGCCTTCTGGCCGTTATAGGTCGTCAGGAGGGTGATCTTGCTGGCGGGATACCCTACACAACACACACACACACATACACACAGAGAGAGAGAGACAGAGAGAGAGAGAGAGAGACGGATGTGAGTATGACTCACACAGGGTGCTTGCCGCTCACCAATGAGTCTCATGAACATGTAGAGTGCGACCATGTACTCGGCCTCGCCGAGGTTCTGGTAGAAGAAGGGCTGCGGGGCGCTCTCACCTCGACCGTCGAAGTCACCCACATCCACAAACTGGTACACGTGACACAGACCACCATTCGCCGTCTGGTGGAAGCAACCAACACACACATCAGCCACAACGAGCACACATAAGGACTGCCTGTGTGTCGGTATGTCCGATGGTCGTGTGGCTGACCAGGTATTCGGGCTCGGCGGTCACTTTGGGAAGGTCGCCAAGCCGGCCCTCGTACCTGCACACACACAGTCATACGAATACACCCGTCAGACCACGGCATCCGTCGGTGTGTTTGTGGTGTGTGTGTCCATACCTCCAGTTGTAGAGTGTGGCGATCTCCGGCCTGGCGCGTCCCTGTTTGTCGAGCAGCACTGTGGGCGTCTGCAGCCTCACGAACCGCGAAAAGAGAGACTGGTCCAGGTGGCCGTACCGCTGAAACGCCTGGACCGATAAATGCCCGGAGGGATGGAGGGATGGACAGAGAGTGCAGTGTGTTGGGTTCTTCTGCGGTTTGTGGTACCCTGTTTTTGACGACCGGTGGCAGCTGGTGGTGGTCTCCAATCAGCACCACACGCTTCAGGCGACTCACCCCTGTGTGGAGGGCACACAGAGAGACGATGATCAAACCCCTGGCTGCTCATGAGGCAGGCCTGTGCTACCTGCCCACCTCTCTCTGACTGCTGCAGCAACATGGGGATGAACGTCTCAACCTACACACACACAGATGCATAATCGGCTCATGGACCTTCCTTGTCCTTGCTCGTCTGTCGCTGACCTCGAGTATCTGCGCGCTTTCCTCCATGATGAGGTTGTCGTACTTGAAGCGCAGGTCGATCAGGTTGTGACGCGTCAACGCCGCGTGGGTGCAGGTCATCGCTATCACCTTGGCGTGCTTACTGCACACACAACACACACACACACACACTCACCCATACCCACACAGTCGTGTGTATGTGTGTGTGTGGCTGGGCTGACGTGAGGAGGTAGTTGGCCCGTTCGGTTTGGTTCCTCAGGAGCTCGAAGGCGTGGCACTCGTCGACCTCTTTGAAGAGGTGCTCGAAGTACTTGAAGCATCCCTCTGCCGTGTCGAGGTCGTGCTGGTGGTCGCCGGTGAAGAGCGGCTGGGGGGCGTCGGCGAAGAACTCACGGAAGGGGAACAGCAGCTGGGGCACCGAATGACCAGAGGCCAGCAGATCCTGAGTGAGAGAGAGAGACAGAGATGGACGGATGGATGCGCGTGTTGTTTGTCATGTGGTCTCTGTGTGTGTGTGAGTGGGTGAGGTGAGTGTATGTGTGTGTGGAGTGGATGACCTCGGGTGTTTTCGAGTAGTCGATGCCCATCCTCTCCTCGTCGATCATGTCCTGCTCCTCATCCTCCTCCTCCTCCCCCTCCCCGGCTGCCTCACTCCCGCCCTCGCCCATCGGGTGGTCACCCTCGCCACCATTCGTGTCAACCTTCTTGTCACCACCACCAGGCACACCGTCCTGCTGCTGCTGTTCCTGCTGTGCGGTGTCGGCCATGGGCGCATCAGCCTCGTTGTCGCCATCTGGCTCTGCCTCTGCCTGGTCGGGCACCATTGCCTTTTTGCGTTTCTCCATGTCCGCAAGTTTCTGCTGCAGCCTCTCCTCGGCCAGCTGGTGCATCAGCTCCTGACGACGCTTCTTCAGACGCTCGCGAGCCGACTTGCCGGGGCGCTTCCGCTGACACAGAACAGACAGCGGGATGCGTGTGTATCCGTGTGTGTGTAGAGGGGGGAGGGAGGGAAATGCGTACCTTTCCTGCGTAAGGGTTCTCGATGATCTCTTCGATGGTAGGCTGGTTGTCCTTGATGCCTCGCGCCCTCCGCCGCCTCTCGCGCTCGGCGGCATGCTTCCTGATCTCCTTCTCGTGCGCGCGCTGCACCTTGGGCCATATCGATGCCAAGTTGGAGCCGTCGGCACCTGACACAGGCAGTGCAGACAGCGGTGCACTGGAGGGGAGAGGGCGTGTGTGGGGTGTTTGTCTGATGCATACATACCTGCTTTGGTGAGGTTGAGTCTGTACTCCTCGATGCGTGACACGATGTGGTAGAGGTAGAAATGGGCGGCCGTCTCGCAGGAATACGCCACGTCAGAACTGACAAACCCACCCATCCATCCATCCATCCATTGCCACACACAATGTGTCTGTGTCTGTGTGTGGTGCGTTTTGTGGGGTCAGGTGACCTACCTGAGTCCGAGTGATGTGGCGAGTCGTCCCACTTTGTCGAGGCACTCGATGCGTCTGAGCAGCATGTGGTTGACCCTCCCCCACTTGCTGAAGTCCTTGTCCATCTCAAGCAGCCTCTCGCCACGACCCAGACGCAGCAAATACCGCTCGTCGATGTCCAAAGCCACGATCTTCTCAAACAGATCATTCAGCGCCTGTTTCAAGACACATAGAGGGGCCCTTCATGTGTGTGTCCATTGTGTGTTTGTGTGTGTGTGGTTACCTGGTTAGAGTGGGCGACGAGTAGGGTCCGCTCGTTGGGGAAGTTGTGGTATAGCAAATTGACGATCTGAACCGCCGTGTCGGTCTTGCCTGACACACACAATATCAGACACATCCATTCATCCATCCATCCATCCATCGGTGTGTGTGTATGAATGCCGTGAGAGCACCGACCAGTTCCTGGCGGTCCGACGACCATGGTGAGTCCCGGGTTGACGCCCGAGCGGATGGCCTCCACCTGGGCCGGCGTGAACCGAACACCGTTGACGCGATACGCACACTCGGGGTACGGACCCTACACACACACACACACCGCATACATGTGATTCTGCTGATTCAACGGCATGATGCGAAGCTACCTTGTTTGGTCGCGTGTAGGTGGTGACGGCGAGCCTCTCTGGCGGCCGCTGGTCGGCAGACGGGGGGTCGCCGGCACGCTCAAACTTGACCCGGTAGGGAGGCGACAGACCTGATGTGTGTGTGCAGCATGACACAACACGCAGTGAGGGAGGGAGTACACTGTCTGTGTGGCTGGGTGAGGTGAGGTGACCTTCGGGGATGGTGACCCCTTCGGCGTCCGGGAAGGACTCGGTCAGGTGGGAGCGGTCCAGGAAGGTGTCCAGGAAATCAATGTCTGTCACTCACACGCCATGCATCATGCGGCCGTGTGTGAATGCCCTAGGTGCGCATGCCATGCCCACCAGGGATCTGTGTGTCAAGCCTGAAGTACTGAGCCGACCCCGGGTCGCCGTAACCCAGAAACAAATCGTGCAGCCAATCTGACACATACAGATCAACACACTCATATGTATGTCCATGCCTGTGTGTGTGCTGTGGGTGTGCAGTGCGTACGCTACGAACTCACCGGGTACGACAGCCTGTGTGCCTTCAGGGTCGTCCATGATGCTGCGTATGGTCTGCAGGATGGCCTTGAAATTGTTCTCCTCGGGCCGGCGACGCACCAGCAGATTGAACGATCCGTACAGCTCCTCCAAACCGGTGTCCTACACACGACACGACCCGCACCAAAAAGAAATTCACCCGGCCTTCTCTCCCTCTCCCTCTCCCTCTGTGTGTCTGTGTGTCATGTGTATCGATCACCATACTTAGTTACCTTGAGTGCGTCAAGGTCGAGTTGGTATTGCGCGGGGTCGAGGAGTATGCGCGCGGTGCGCATGTGGCCCCTCGGCGGCCGTCTCTCCATCGGGTTGGGGTCCGACACCACATGGCCGTCCTCGTCACAGATCTCGATGATCTCGGCACCACTGATTGATAGATAGATAACGTATAGACACACACACCACCACCACCACCACACACACAGTGGGGCCGCTGTCCGTGTTTCTGTGTGTGTCTGTGTGTTTGCTGCTGACCGCACGGCGATGATGCCGAATTTCTCAGGGAACTCTGTGATGGGGATGTCGCCCACGCGGCCCTGCACCGGCTCCTCGGACCCCATCATGGCCAACTGCATACAAAGCACAGGGAGATAGCGACAACGAAACACGTGTGTGGAACGATCGGCCCTCTATCCCAGTGTGTGAGTGACCATGAAAAGGACGTCGAATTGCCTGAGCTCTTCCCACTCTCGGCGTATGTGTGGCTGCAGGCCGCCCAGGTTGTACACCACCTCGGCACGCACCTCGGAAGGCACCGTCTCGCCGACCTACACACACACACACACACACAGAGGATATCCTTCCTTCTATCGATGTGTGTGTTTGGAGTCTGTGTACCTTAGGTTTTTTGACGACAGCGATGCTGAAGTCCTCCACTGTGACGGCCATGCGTGCCTGGCCCTCGAAGCGAGTGGCCGTCCGCACAGTCACATCCTACACAGACACACACATACGGACACAGCACATGTGCACACACATGCACCGCTCCCACTGCCTGCGTGTCTGTTTCCCTGACTGACTCACTGACCTTCACCGGCCTGACGCGCAGAATGACGTCTTCCAGGTGCTCACGGATCTCATACGTCGACTCGAGCCTGCATACATGCAATAAAAACCACCACACGTGTCCCCGCCCCTCCAGCAAGCCGCCGACCGACCTGAAGAGTTTGAAGTTGCGCAGCAGGTAGTCGTGTATGGTGAGGAATTGCAGGTTGAGTTTGGGGAGTGCGAGTGAGAACTCCCCCTGGTAGTGCTCCGCCGGCACCAGGTTGGGGTCCCACAACACCTCCTGAGTCGGGTACAGCGGCATGGACCGAATCTGGGACAGCTGGTCAGGCTGACAAAAGCCCACGTAGCCAGACAGGCAGACAAAGAGAGAGAGAGAGAGAGAGAGGAATGAGTGCCATCGACACGTATGAGGGGTGTGGTTGGTGGAGGGTGCTCACGCGTCGTTCGAGTCGGCTGATGATAACTTCGACGAGGAATGCCTTGAGCGTCTTGGGGCTGCGCCACCGAGCCCTCGTTTCCTTTTCCTTCTCCTTCTCCTTCTCGCCGGTTACTCCATTCACCAGCTTGCTTCCCGGGACGCCGTCAGCAGTGCTGTTGCTGTTGCTGTCGTTGTCCCCCCCGCCGAGCAGGTCAGCCATGCGAATGAGGTGGAGCTGCTCGGTGAGGCCCGCCAGAGTGTCCAGGGGCAGGGGCGTCAGGATGGACGACAGAGAATCGCGCGAATCGATCGAACTGATCGACCGCAGTGACACCTGATTAGGGCAGTGGGAGAGAGAGAGAGAGAGAGATAGGTGGGCGTGTGTTGTTTGGCGTGTGAGTGTGTGGTTGTTGGGCTGCTGACGTCTTTGAGTGTGTCTGGGTAGGTGTGGAAGCACACTCGCTGGAACTGCTGCATCTTGTGGTAGTGCCGCTCAGATATCTCCAGGTGAGACAGCGGCTCACCTACACACCACACACCAACACAGCACACCCACATCCATCCATGGCCCTTTTCTCCCCCTCCCCCACCCACACACGCACCTGTGTGATCGTTGATCTCAAACCCCTCATAGAACCGCAGTATGTCCAGCAGCTGGCCGAACAGCTTCCCCTCCTCCCTCTCGCTGATGCCCGTCAGCCGACACCGCACCTCAAACTGCTTCGACTGCAGCAGAGGCCGGAACCACCGGCGCGTCGCCAGCTGGTTGAGCAGGTCGATCATCCACTCCACAAAGCGCTCGATATACGCCAGCTCGTCCCCGTCGATGACGGCCTTTGGCGCGAGGGTCTCCTCAATGAACAGCAGGAAGCTCTCGAGTTGGTTGTGGAGGTAGTCTCTCTCGAGCTGCTGGCCGCCCTTCTGCAGCTTCTTAAGTGTCGACCGCCAGATCTTCTGCAGCGGGGGGTGCTCACTGATGAGCGAGTCGCGCACAGGCTCCGTGAGGTGGTGCCAGATCAGCGGGCTGCACACCGACAGGCCCTCCTTGCGGATGCGTGGCTGCTCGAACGACTGGAAGGTGTTGATTAGGAATGTCGTCAGGATGGTCTGCTCCTTCATCGACAGCTGCTCGGCGGGGATCGTAAACACCCTCCGAAAAAACGACCGCACCTTGGGATCGTCTTGAGGCATCGCAGCGGTGGCCTTGAAGGCCACCCCGATGGTCTCCCAGACCTCCACCCCCTGCCGCACCTTCTCGTTGATCATGACAACGATCGACAGCACGTGTGTGAGGGAGGCCTCATCGCCGTAGTGCGGCCAGAGGTGGCCCTCGAGGTAGCCGCTGTACTCGAGGATCATCATTTTGCTGAGGTCGAAGTCCGACTCCCTCAGTGTGCCGTAGATGTCATCGATCAGCTGAGGTGTGAAGGGCGGAGGGGCCGCCGACGCCCAGCTGGCGTTGGCGAGCTTCGTCAGCTCGTGGCTGAGGATCTGCGTCACAGTCGGCACATGGCCGCGGCGTTTTTGCCTCCTGGCCTTGGCTGCGGCGGGGGCGACGGCATCGAGGGATTTCTTCTCGGCATCGACCTGTTGCTCATCCTCGACTGCCTCCTCCTCAAAGGCATCGAACGGGTCCGCGATTGGCCGCTCGTCAGCCATCGGTCACTGACAACACAACACAGCACAGACGCAAGCAGAGGAAAGTGGTGCAACGAAAGATGGATCGTGGCCACTTGATGCATCCCCACACACCTGTTACGGCCGCCGCGAGTCCTTGTTTCACCGAAGGCCTCAGGGGTCGATCGACAGCAGTTGCCGCTTCACTTTGAGCATCAGAGAGTGGTCGCAAGTAAGCAGAACGAACTCCAGAGCCTTCAGATTCGCAGATCTCCACAGCTGCAATCCGCGAGCTCAGCCTCTTCAAGCTCGCAACAGAAGAGAGCGATCAGTATGTTGCCGTCGTTCGCAGCGCATTGCATATCCTCCTGTTTGCTGCATCTGCCCTCTGCGTGCTGCGTGTTGCGTGTCCGGGTTGCATGTTAGGGTGCGTGTTTTCATGTTGGACAGACTGACAGGGGACTTGGCCGCCAGGCCGCCTAGGGTGCTCGCTGAAACCGCCGCTGCGGAAGAGAGCGATCAGAGCCTCCCCAGCCTCCCTCATTGTGTGCACTGTGCCCGGTGTGTGTCTGCAGTTCGATGGATCCATAGCCAGCCATCTCTTGAATCATCTCTCGACGAACCAACTCACGTGGATCTGGGTCTCCCAAGCAATGCAGAGATGGCAGCGTGTAGGCCGCCAGTGGAGAAACCTATGCTGTTCCCCCTCTGCATCGCTTTGCTGATCCGTGCGTTGGCCTGCTTCGTGCTCCACCCGCATGCAGCTACCTCGCACCTCCGACACGCGGCCATGGTGGCACGGCGCGCAGCGATTCGGGATCTTGTTCACGATTCGGCCTTCTCGCAGCGGTTGGCCGATGAATACGTGTTCGAGAAGGACAGAGTGCTGGAAGCCGAGTATTGGGGGAATCTGCGGGACCGTGGGCGCGCCAACTTCGACAGTGTCTTCACACTGTTCATAGACATGGCGCTCTGGAACTGAGGTCAGTCAGCCAAAGGAAAGGAAGCCTTAGGGCCATATCATGCGTCACCTGTTTGGATGTCTGGCTGTCTGGCTGTCTGGCTGTCTGGCTGTCTGGCTGTGTGTGTGTGTGTGTGTGTCAGGGTATAGTGTCGATAAGATGCACGCAAATAAGGGCTGGACAATGGAGAAGAAGATTGAGCTGCTTGGCGAGATCCGTGCCAGGCGCGGTTCTCGCCCAGTTTAAGACAAAGCCCGACTGCTCGATCAAATCCACAAGCGCCACTGCACAGATGGTCGCACATTCGGCCAGTTCTGCATCGCTTTGCTGGCAGAGGTCAAGAAGGGTGAGCGGCGACCACTTAACCCGATCTCACATTGCGGCCAGCGTCTGTCACTGAGGACCTTTGTCTGTCTGCCTGCATGTGTGTGTGCCTTGTGTGTGCAGATCATGACGGATTTGGCTGTGGCGAGCCGATATGGGTGGGGTTCTTCAGGTGTGCCCTCGACATCGAGATCTGGACCGATGAGCAGTATCCGGAGTGTGTTGGCTCAGAGACAGACTGAACTCTACAGGCCAGGACTGAGACTGAGCGTATGTGTGTGTCATGCATGGCCAGTATACAAGTTGGTGACGTGATACACAGCTAGCTCGTGTCAGTCAGGTGGCACTTGAGTCGTTCAGCTTAATTAATGCATTTGTGCTGCACATGATGCGCAGCTCCGTGACGCGTACCCATTCCGGTGCATTCCGGTGTCGCCAAAGAAAACCAACACGTTAACACCGTTGCTAGATAGGTTCAAACCATGCGGTGATGCAATATCGATGTCAATCATCCAACACACCAATCACTCAATCATACAGGACTGTGTTGCCTGCAGCCTCTCTGTTGGTTGACTGAATAAGTGTTCGAGTGGGCACCTTGCTGTCTGTCGGGCTGCAATGGATTTTGACGACTCGTATTTTTGGACACTGACTGGTGGCATGATACATCCATTAGACTGAAACAACGTACACTTACGTGAAGTGAGTCTGTACAAGGAGCAACACGAACGTAGTCAGTCAGTCAGTCAGCATTCCATTCAGCCACACCCACCCACCCACCCACCCACAGAGAGAGAGAGAACAATGCCCCAAGGCGACGGCCTAACACATCTATTGGCACATGCACACAAATCCATATAGACAGCAGACAGCCTGTACACAGAAATACAAACGCCAGTCATCCAACGACGTAGGTGCACAAATCATTGCAACGACTCCCCCCCACACGTACACACATCCCCTGTACACACAAATATGCTCCCTGCCATTCACGTCGTGCAGCGAACTCCATGGAGGTCACTCGCATACTCGGCCTCTGTGCGGCACGCCGGACACCGCAGGACGGCATCGCGTTTGACGTCGTCGGGCACTCGCCGGCGGGTCCTCTCCAGCCGCTGCTTCTCCCTCTTGGCCGCCTCGTGGGTCCGCATCAGCCGTTCGTGGCATCCGGCGCACGCGCATTGCTGGAAACACACACACACGTCACCAGCACACACAAACACGATCGGCTCGTTTGGCTCGTTTGTCCGATTCCCCCAGCCCCGCTTTCGCCATGTGCGTACATTACCTGTTTGCATGGAAAATAGACCACTGTGGGCGGCTGGTCGAGGCAGAGCACACAAGTGCCTCTGTCGGCAGCGGGCGGGGCCTCCCTCTCCTGCAGTCGGCCCTCGAGCTTGCTGGCATCTGCATAGAGGGCCAGCAGCTGCCGCTGTCGCTGCTTGACCTCCGCCTTGAAGGCACTCACGGCCGCACTGCTGCTAAGGGTCGCCAGCCGCTGCTTCGTCAAACTGACCATAAAAACGACAAAGACAACGAATGAACGGAATGCCGGCGCATGGAGTCATCGTTGCGTACCCTTTGGCTGCCTCCTGCACCAGTGTGTCATGCTCTTGCTCGAGCGGCTGCAGCGACGCCCTCACCCTGTCGCAGTTGACCCGCATGGCAGCGATACCCGACTCCAATCTGCAGGTAAATGAGGTAGATGGAGGCATCAGCTCATCAGGTGGCTGTTGCTGTCTGTCTTACTTGCGTATGTCGCCCTTGAGTGTCTGCAGCGTCTTCCGCAGCTGGGCCTCGGTGGCTGGCGGCTCGGCCGACACAGACGCCTCTCGTGAATGAGAAGAGGAAGCAGACACCGGCGAGCTGCAGACAACGGACATTGAGAGATGGACGTGGTGGCGCGAGAGAGGACGCCTGGCTCAGTTTATGCTCTAACCTCGCTCCAGTGGCTGCCGTCGAGCCATCTTCGCAGTCCAAAGATTCCATAGGTATCCCCAGCAGCTTAATACCGGTGCGCTCCGCGGCGTTGATCTGGTCGTACAGCTGGTCGAGCCGCTCGTGCTCCTGCTTGACCTTGTCAGCAAATGCGTGTGCATCAGCAGCACTCTCACACGACGCCAACACGTCACTACTCAGCCTGCAAGGCCAACACAGCACCATCAAGATGTGCATGTGTGTGTTTTATGGGCACGCGTGTCTTCGTTGTCCACACACTCTGGTATGGTGTTGCCTTTCATCTCTCGTATGGCCTCTTGGAGCTGCTTCTTCCGCTCTACAGCACGTCGATGCGCATCGGACAGCTCCTCATATCGACACGACAAACTGCAGAAAGGAGCGGTGCACACACAGCCATCTCTGCATTGTCTGGCTGAGTCGGTGGTTTGAATGTGACCTGTGTTTCCTGTTGCTGGCATCGTGTATGTCGTTCTTAAGCTGCGCAGTGGCTCTGGCCGCCCTGTTGGCCTGCTCCTGAGGGTCTAACCTGCATGCACCAAAGAGCCTTGTTGCTGTGGTAGGCTAGCCGCCGTACCTCTTGCTTACGCATAGGTGGCTGCCTGGGTCGCTCTGCTGGTTCTACACCTATTGCCCGAACGTCCGGCCGTGCCCGACCGCCCTGGCCACCAGCGGCCGACGGCAACAAGGAAGTTCACGGCACAGAAAGTCGCAAGAACGAACCACTGCACACAAAACAAAAGGGAAGGAATCAGAATGGACCATGTGTGGAACGTAGTTAGTTTACATACCCCATGTGACGGCCATTGAGTCGTTCTCTCCTTCTCGTTCAGTACACTCATGTCATAGACACTCTGCAAGGCACGCAATTCACCCTTAGAGAGGGACATGGCCGTCTGAACAGACAAAGGAGAACAGAGACTACAGCAGGGATTCATTTGCCTGTCTCACCCTGTTCCAGCGGCCTTCAAAGCGGTCTGTGTCCCATTTCCGCGCCGCTACCTGTCTGGCGCCATACCTGTCGACCAACCGCGCCGGCGTACAGGCAACTGTCGATCTGTTGACAATGCTAGCTTACGATAGAAGTGATTCGATGGCGCCCAGGATCTTGGCTGCTGCATCCTCCTCCTCGCTGATCTTGCCTCCCTTGATCGCCACCAGGCACTTGATGAGGACGTCCATTAGCTCCTCGTGGGAAGCAGCAGTCTCGACGAACGCCTGAAGAACACACCAACATGTCACATCTGTCCACCATAACACCACCGTGACCGACAGACCTGTTCATTTCTCTCCACAAGGGTGTCAAGGACATTCACAGCGCGGGCAGTCTTGCGAGAAGCTTGGGGTAGGGACTGTACACCTCGCAGGACGCTAACCATCGCGGGGATGAAGCCAGCATCCAGCACATACTTGCCAGATCCATGCACTGAACACATATACACACACACACACACACACACACACACAGGCACACATTAATACATATATGTACCAGTCGTCTGCGTGTTGCGCCCGACTTGCTAGCCAATAGGGAGTCTGTAGGGCGAGCTCGACATCTGCTATCCACGTGGCTGGTCTGTCTTGCAAAAGGCCAGCCAACACCTTGAGGGCCCTTTGCCCCTTCTCCGTCACCAGCTGGCCCACCACCGCCTCAAAAGTTGGGCCATACGCTTCCCGATCATCAAGGCACGATGGGCAGGACTCTCTGAGGTGGAACAGGAAGCCCAAAAGGTACGTAGCCGCCCACTGCCGCCTGCGGTCGGTGGAGGTCGCAACCGCCCCGATGAGGCGGTCGGTGTAGCCACGGATCTCGCTCACTGAATATTTCTCCAGCTCCTCCGTTGCTATGGCTTCGTTGGCCAAGAAGGCAAAGAGAGGGTCGCTGAACAGGAACAGCCGAAAAGGGTCGGCTCCATCTAGGGCGATGCCCACAGCGCTGGAGAACAGCCGCTTCTGGGAGGCGTAGAACATGCTCAAAGCCGTCTTCAATGCAATGGACTGATCGGCAGTCAGTCGGTCAGGCCTCCAGTCAGACAAGCCGGGGGTCAAAGACCCACACAAGCCAAGGGACAAAGTGCCGATGAAGATGAACATGAGCCAGTTGCAACACGCCATTCGGGAGAGCGGGGAAAGGCGAAATGCGACGAAAGGGAGCTGGTTCTCAAGGCGAATGTGGTCTGGCGGGGAAAGGGTTCATCGGATAGAAGCGAAAAGGATGAACAACCGCAACCTCACGCCACTGCGAGGAGAGATCTGCACCCTTCTGCTTGCACCCCCAGGCATAAAAGCTCGCAGGAGAGGAAAGCAGAAAGAGGAGGAACCTCATCTATTATCGGAAATGTGATAGATCTATCCATCCCTTGAGTCATTGAAGTGATCAGCCGCAGCCATAGCATGCCTCCCCAGCCGCGGCGACTCATCGCAGCGTCACGAACAGCCCTCAGCACATTTGCCCGCCCTGCCCCTCCTCCCCCGTTCATCCGGGCGCAGCGCTTCAACAGCACTCAGGCGCACACACAGCAACAACAGCAGCACCAGCATCCGCATGCCAGCCTTCACGACCATCTGCCGCACTTGCAGGAGCAGGAGCAGCACACGGACACGCAAGGTGCGGCAGCGTTCGCGTCAGCATTGCCAGATGACGACGGGCGGTTGGACATGGACTTCGACGAGAGTTTCTACATGCGAGATGTGTGTGGCGATGGGCTGGAGAACGAGGGAGTGCCGGGCATCGTGCCTGACCCACACGAGGTGGCACACGCCTGAGTATACGCATTGGATCAGCATGGCATTCGTGTGTGATTGTTTGTTTTGTGCGTTGCGTCTGCTTGTGCTTCAGGAGAACCCCCGTGCCCCCCGTCGTTGTGTTGGGTGCGGCGCGGCCTTTCAGACGACCGACCCGACCAACGAGGGATACGTCCACAAACACAAGTTCATGCAGTTCTCAGGTGGGTGGAGGCCACAGGGATGCACCAATGCATCGCATCAATGGGCAGCGTGCCCACGTCATGTGTGTGTGTGTGTGTGTGTGTCTGCGTGAACGCAGGTGGTCGTGTGAAGCAATACCCTCGTCTGCGGGGCGAGCCGGTGGACTTCGTGCCAGACGGAGTGCCCGTGGAAAAGGCATGCGCACACACGACACAGACATAAGGTGCATGTGAATGGCTATGCACCTGCGTGTGTTTCGTGCAGCGTGACAGCCCGTCTGATCGCGTCAAGACGCACCTGTTGCTGTGCCGCCGGTGCTATCGGCTGCAGCAGTACCACATACTCGAACAACCACAACTCGCACTGGGTGAGCGGGTGTGCTGTGCTGGGTGAGATGCCCTCCGTAGATCTGTGCATAGTCAATGGGTGAAATGCCATCCATCCATAGGCTTGCCTTGTGTATACTCGTTTCGCATGTGTGTGTATTGTGTGCAGGTTTGGGTTTCTATCGGATGAAGGGCGGGCTGCCGTACATACACCCGCACCAACTCATCGAAAAGGTCACTCAGTCAGCCAACCAGCCAGCAACACACAGACCCATATGTGTAGACAACTTCACTGTGTGCGGGTATCCGCGTGTTTGTGTGTGCAGGTTGTGAAGCGCATCAAGCACGACTCGCTGGTGCTCAACATCATCGACATACTCGACATTGAAAGCAGGCAGGCAAATGAATCCCTACACACACATACAAAGGTGGCCGTATGTACACACTGATCATGCCGTCTTTTCCTGTCTGTGTCTGTGTGGATGGATGGATGGTCAGTGTGGTGCCTGAGCTGTACCAGGCGTGCCGCAATAAACAGCTGCAGGTGCTGTGGGTCATCAACAAAGTCGACCTGCTCCCGTACAGGGCAGACCTCAACAGGCATGCACACCAAACACATACATCACACCCACGCCATGTGCCGATAGATGTGTGTGTGTGTGTGTGTGGATGGATGCAGTGTGAAGCAGTGGGTGCGTCAGATGGTGCGTCAGATCAAGAACGTCTCCACACATGACGTCATGCTCGTCTCATCGGCCACAGGTCGGTCGATGGGTCGGTCGGTGGGAACCACACAAGACAACACCACAACCACATCCTTGATACTGACGTGTGTGTATAAGGATAGGTTATGGATTCGACACGCTGGAGGATCGTCTGAGTGCCCATCTCGACCCCAAAGACCCCAAGTGGATATACTGTGTCGGCAGGTAGGCACAGATTGTCATGCCCACACGGCCTGGCCACACGGAGGGCATCATCACGGAGGGGGTGCGTTCATGTCTGCAGGGTGAATGCGGGCAAGTCAACGTTCGTCAACCGCTTCCTCAAGTTCATCCAATACAAGTACGCACCTCGAGCATACACACACGCTCCTGAGTGTGAGTGTGTGCATCCGTCCATCTGCAGACACCTGGGCACGACTGACATGAAGCGGGGCGTCGGGGGCGTCACGCGATCCGCAGTACCTGGTATGCCATACACCGACCTGGTCGATCAATCACTCAACCATGGGTCGCGTCCGTACTTGTGTGTGTCGGATGGGTGGGTCTGTCAGGCACCACGCTTCATTTCGTCTCCTTTGGTCTGGGCAAGGGGCTCAAAATCATCGACACGCCGGGCGTGCCCTCAGAAACACAGGTAAGGACAGGAACGCCCGACACACAAAGAGATGGAGAAAGATGTGCTCATTGTGTGCGTGCAGGTGACCCGGCTGTTGTCTCGCGGTGAGGATCTGTACTCGATAGTGCCGCGACGGAGGCTATACCCCGTCACGTACAAACTCAAGGAGGGGGCGACTCTGCTGCTGGGTACGATAGTGCACACAACCACACACGCATACACATCCATGCGCATCGCATGCACGAGTGTGGGTGTGTAAATGTGCAGGTGCGTTGTGTCGGTTGGATTTCGTGAGCGGCGACTTCTGCTTCACGACCGTATTTGCGTCCTATGGCGTGACGCTCCACATCACACAAACCGTCAAGGCCGCACACCTGCTGCAGAGAAAGGTACGGGACGGCATTATGTCGATGTGTGTGTATCTGTGATGTGTGTGATCTGTCTGCGTATGGGTGTGTGTGCAGGCGGCGACGTTTCTGTATCCGCCGCACCTCCGGGAAGACTTCGAGAGCATACAGCCCTTCGTCAGACACCGGTCAGTCACTCTACAGACATACACACACACATACACGAATGCATAAAGTATCACGCTTGCTCTCATCTCTCTCTGTGTGTGTGCCGTGTCAGTGTGGAGGTGTTCGGCGGCACTTTTCGAGCGTGGGACGACATTGTGATATCTGGGCTAGGCTGGATCAGCATTGCGGGCGACGGCAAGAAAGTATTCGACGTCTGGGTGCCGAAAGGCGTCAAAGTCTTCAGGTGCCCTCACATGCGCCTGACCCCCACCCCCCCCCCCCC